CGGGCTGGAGTGCAAATACACTATTACTCATGTGTCTTTAGATCTGTGCCTGAAGATGAGTTGGGGGATTCTTGTTATAAAAGAATCGCTCATATGATGCCCATGTTAAAAAGCAAACCCAGAAGAAAACAACCATTGGAATGTGGACTGCTCTGGCAAGTTCCTGTGGGCGAATTTTTGGGTGTGTAGAGGAAGTTTGAAGTGAGGTGCTTCACAGGTTGGGAGGCCTCTGAGCCACCCAGTGGCTGGGCCATTAAGAGACTGTCTTCCTTGAAGGATTAAACAGGAGTTAAAGGGCAAGTGCCTTTTATTCACTCCAGCCTTGTGAGAAAACTAGATTGTCTCATCTCGTCTCGGATTGTGTCATTAGCAAGTTACAACTCGATGTTAGGGAATTTCTTTAATAACAAGCATTCAAACGAAATGGTTTTAATTGTCAGTGGAAGTGTGAGCTCATGTAAAAGAAAGTCGGACTCTTAAGCAAGTTGTCACGGGGAGCTTAATCATCCAAGTTTTCTTTTTAAGTGATTTTTTTTTTTTCAAATTTAGAAGAAAGTTTAAAGTAACCGTTTTTCTTAGAATCTCTGGCTTCTTTATCACACCCAGCATTACTTTTTTTTTTTTTTAATATTCTTACGGTGTTTTACTTTTAAAAGTAAGGAGATACTAAGTTATCAGGTGTACTTTTCTAGGAGTTTTTCCTCCAACTGAAAAGTCTGTTTTCTCTCCTAGTTCTTGGTTTAAATAAAAAGCCTCAACTGGGCATTGAAATAGACTTGAAAGATATTAGGTCTCACCTCAGAGCTCATTCTTCCTTAATTTGACTTGTTCCTAAAAATACAAAATATAACACTAAGAAGTATATGGTTTTTTTAATTTTTGAAAAATTTTTATTTATTATTTTTATTTTAATGTGTATGTGTGTATTGCCTGCATGTAGGTAAGTGCACCCATGCTTCTGGAAGTCAGAAGAGGCTGTCCCCTGGGACTGGAGTTATGGACAGTTGTTAGCTGCCATATGGGTGCTGGGATTTGAACCCGGGTCTTCTGCAAGAACAACCAGTGTTCTTAACTGCCGAACCATCTCTCCAGCCCCTATGTGATTTTCTTTCATCATGAAAATCAGTATGTATGTAAATAGCATTTGTAATTCAGGGAGTCCTGGGTATGTTAAGGCATCTGTACTTGTTCTTCACTGCATGGAGCTTCTGTGGGGAGCCTCCTTGCGGATCTGCATGGGATACAGCCATGACAATTTCTCTGGAGAGAGCCAGAACCTTCAGGGCAGAGCTGCAGTGACCCAGTAGTATGTGTTGAATCCTGAACACTGAAATGGTCCTTAATGTCAAACGTACACAAACCCAGAGCCTCATGAGAAACCCCAGTGAAAAGGTGGTATCAAGTTTGCCTAACTCAGATGCCCAGATCATCCTGGGATAAGTCTACCTTCTTTCTTGCTCTCAGGCTCTGGGCTGGGTGGTGCTGTGGCAGTTTACTGTTGATGCCTGTCCCAAGTATTCCCACAGCAGTCTATCAGCAGTGTGTCTTCTGCGTTCTTCCTTCTTCCCTTCCTCCCCTCCCCTCCTCCCCCCCTCCCTTTCTTCTCTGTCTCTCCCTTCTTCCTCCTCTCCCTCCTCCCTCTTTCCCAGGGGTCTAAGGCTCTTTGGAGGTAGGAGTACTGGGACTCATTTGCATTCGGCCTATTTTAAAACAAAAAATACTTGAATATTCATGCATAGATACACCGTGTTTGGATCCTATCCACTCCCCATTCCCTCCTATCCCCCCACTTTTACTTCATGTTCTCTCTCTCTCTCTCTCTCTCTCTCTCTCTCTCTCGCTCTCACTCTTGCTCTCGCTCTCTCTCCCCACTGGGTCCTTTTAGTATAGGCATGGGTGTGGGACCATCTACTGGAACATGAGGAGCCTCTTGGGCCTGCATCCTTGAAGAAAAGTGACTCCTTTTCCCAGTAGCCATCAGCTATCTGCTCTTTCAAGTGTAAGGGAAAAGGTGACCTGAAAGCTGATCCGTAGGGAGTTAAGCTTCCTCGCCCTTGGGACTGCATCCCACATAGGGCTGTCAGTCATCACCAGTGACAGCTGAAGGAAGGCGGAGAATAGCTGGACTGCTGACTGATGGGAGAAAGAACTTTCTGTTGTTGCTCCTGGTTTGGTTTTAACTCGGTACTTCATACGTGTGGTTCTTTGAGGGGTTTGTCTTCGCTGTACTGAAGTTGGGTATAGAATTGGAAGGAACATTCAAATCTTGTGACTACAGTGCGTTTCCTGTCTTAATACACACTACCACCAGGAGCAGAAGTGGGATTTGTGTACCTGTCCTGTGCATGGTGCAGGATCCTTCCTGGGTTCGGTTGTGTTTCACCGAGGGCTCCCTTCTCAAGGCATGTGCAGAGCAGAGCAGCCACAGACTAATCACCTCTGCATTGTTTCTGATGGTTCATTCTGTTTACATTTGGAGAGTCCTCCTAGTGCAGCCACTTTAGGAGCATCTCTCCAGGGACCCTCAGTATCCAACACTCTGCTAGTATAGACAGCTGAGGAGTGAGAACTAGAATCCTGCACTTCCTGAGGAGGCCTGAGGTCACAGCTCCCATCCCCACCCCTGTTCTTGCTACAGGCATCCATAGACTGTGGGTGTGTTTGACCTCACAGCAGACAAGCTCTGCCCACATTGTATTGCTACAGTGTGCATGCATGAGAAGCTGTGGGAAAGCTCCCATCCCGTGCCCGTGTGTCTCAAAGCTGGTTTTCTGACCTGGGTCTCCTGTCCATGTCCCAACCTTCCAGCATCAGTCAACTGCATTGTGGCCCATTCATCTTCCCATAAGAATACTACTTTTGGTTGGCCTTTTTCCCCAGTCTTGGAGAAGACCCCGCCTGAAAGCAGAATTCAGAAGGAACCTTTTGGAAAATATAAGGTTCGTCGCACGGCTGATGATGTCCTCCCTCCTGTCAGCTCATGCCGATACTCAAAAATTGAGGTTTTGATAACTCTGTAGTACTTTTAAAAATAACAATGGTTAGGGACAGGTATGGTAGTGCCTTTAATCTCAGCATTCAGGAGGCAGAGGCAGAAGGATCTTGGTGAGTTCAAGGCCAGCCAGGTTACCTAGTGAGACCCTGTTTCAAAAATAAAATCCTTGTGAGACCCTCCCTGTTTCAAAAATATATATGTAATTTTGAGTTTGACTTGGTTGATGTTCAGGAAAACCTGATCCTTAGAGTTGGGTTTTTCAGCCAAACGACTGAGGAACAGTGAAAACCACAGTGACTGTACATACCCATGAAAAGGAAAGCCTTTTTCCAGCATTCCCTATTTTACATGACTGTGTGTTTACATTGGAGAAATTGGAGGATTCACTCAGCTGTCTTCAAGATAATGGGCTCAGAGTTAACAGACAGTTTAGCTAGGACTCTCCTAATTGTTGTGTGAAAATAAACTTTGATTGGAGATCTTTTTGTAGATGGATTCACAAATGCTGCTCACCTGCTCTGGGTAGGGTAGGACTCACCTGTGTGACAAAACCCTTACCATTTTTAGCATAAAACCAGGCCCTGCTTTTTAAGGGCTGCCAGCGGTTAGTTAGGCCACTGCAGTCTCTTGGGATTGAAAAATCATTGTGATCAATAAAATAGCTGGAGGACAAGACATTTCCTTAAGAGGAAGTGCTGAATATGGCTGTTTGTCCAATTCCATTTGCACAATGTTGTTTATCTGTTAATTTTTTAAAGGATGTAACATTTTTAAAAGAAAGAAATAGCCTCCAAGTGCAGCAGAACTGCAGCGTTTCCCTGGCACCCCACAGGCTCTGTCTGCACAGATTTGCACTGTGCTAGACGGAGGCTGCACCCTTTTCAGGGGCCCCTCAGCTTCAGGGCGCATTGTAAGTTTCTCTCTGCTGGGGTCAGTCCTCTCAACTCAAGGAGAAGAAAAGAATTACACACACACATACACACACACACACACACACACACACACACACACACGGAAAATAAAACTAAGTATGAGGTTCAAGAGTTGAAGATCAGAATTTATGCAGTTTGAAAGGTGTGTCCAACATTGCATAGAGGATCTTAGATCTGCAAAGGAAGATTTACCTGGTTAAGATAGAGTGCCCTCTCTCTTAGCCATCATCATGGGGAGTATGTAAGTCACAGTGTGTCAGTTTGTATGAAACGCCAAGAAACTTAACCCCCCCAAAAAGCACCATGACGTGACATGTCCTTCTTCAAAGTTGAGCTGTCCAGTGATGAAAGAGGAAGTGTCTGATGTATGCGTTTACTTTAAACCTTGGGGATGGAGCCCTGGTTGCAGGGGTGTGCTGCTCTTTCCTGAAGGGAGGAGCAAATGGTCACCTGGCCTTCCTCCCACCCCTAAGCTCAGCAGCCAAGTCAGTTACTTTGGTACTTGGGAAGATGAGTACGTGATGGTAAGATGCTGAGATCGGTATGACAGCACATAGGGTACAGGGGCTTTAACATGGTTAAGAAGAGGAAGGTAACTGGCAGGGTTAAGTGGGGGCAGAAGAGTGGACTTGGGGCATTCCTTTCTTGAGTGGCACACATTTGAGGAGTCAGTAAGGTTAAAGGTCACACAGTACAGTCCTCAGCAGACCAATGAGGCAGGAAGCAATCCTCTCCAGTACATGCTCAGTGTGAAGGTTAAAATTCGTCCACTCTGTCCCTTGTGACCTCTCTGCTGGAGTACTTTACAGAGTGTGGAGGGAGATTTTCTCACCTGCATGCACAGTTGGGATTGGAGCCTAGCCGCCCCACCTTCAGGGCAGCCAGCCTGTTTGCCTGAAGGTCTTGTTTTTCTGGAAAGGAGAGTGATAAGCCTTTGCTTCTCAGAGAAGCACCTCTTTTCAGGGGAATGGCCCAGATCCTGGACACAAGTCCAGGGGCCTCTTGGGGGCACTCTGTACATCCCTTTGGTCCCTGGAGCGGGTGGCTCATGAGTTCTCTGCTCTCTTTTTCAGAGTGAAGCACCACCTGGTCCATGCCACCAAGTTCAACTCAGAATCCATTACAAAGGAGATGCTTGGAGTGTTTCCAGCCCAACACTGCTCACCCTTCCTTTCGGACCAGAGCAGTTCTACATTTTCAGACTTCTGTGAATTGTGTCACACAAGGAACCAAGAGGCAAGGCTGCCTCTCTCACCTGTTCCCAAGTGGGGCACCTGTCATCACCCCACTGTTTGTGTTGCATTTTCTTGTTGTTGTTAGCTAACTGAATGAATTGATGGGGTTACACTCCAGGAGATTGAATATTTTTATTGGCCTTCTCAAATTGTGGCCATTGTCTTTATTTTTTTCTTACTTTCATTTTGGCAAAGTGGATTAATCCCTCGGCATGCAAGGAGATGCTTCAAGGCCCACAAAAGTGGTCAAATCTGGTATTTACTGGTTTATGCTCAAAACTACCACAGTCCTACCTCAGTTCATGAGAAGCCGGATTGCATGGCAGGGTACAGGGGGACCTCTGGCAACTCTACCCTAGGGTCACATGCAGACCATATTTAAGTAGGTGTGGGTTCCAGTGCAGGTACCTGCGATGTTTACTTACACAAGGAACCTAGTGTGGGACTGAATTCTCCATGGGAGTGAAATCTGGGATTGGACTTCAAAAACAGATTAATCCTAATAATTCTTAAATGTGACTTGAGCAACCTCCTTTTGAAAATCATCAACCATATTGGGTAGTGGGGGTGGGTGGGAGCATGGGAGGGGGTGGATCTTTCTTTGTACCTTTGACAGGCTTGTTGACTCTTCTCTGTATATGTTCATGTAAGTACTTAAGATCGCAAAAGCCTTTTGTCCTATCCACAAGCTGGGGTGTCTTCAGCTGTTTCTGAATCTTGGCTCGCATTTCTTTAACCAAAAACTCATGTAGGCATGCTCGCAACTCAAGACTGGTTGGGTTTGGTAGATTTCATTTTTTAAATGTATTATCTTTGATATAATGTTACTGTGTTGGCCAACAAGGCTGCGCAGAAGAGAGAAGGGGGGGGGGATGTACTATTGATGGAAAAGAAAAACCATCTCTCAACGGTACACATCACTTGTCAAGATCAACAAGACTACCCTGGTTCTCTGTTTTCAGTGTTCTGATCAGTGTTGTGGTAGTTATTTCAGGTGTCTAGACCCGGAAGTGCTGAGCTTGCTGGCAGAACTTTGCTGCTCCCCACACATGTGGCTGGAGGCCTGCCTCCCCTCACTCCCCCCAGTGCCTGTCTCCCTAATAGTCCTGTAGAGACCACACTAATTCTTGGAAATGTGAGTTGTTGGTTTATTTTTTACCATTGTTGTTTTGTTTTTGTTTGGGAGAAAAAATACACATATATATATAAATATATAGATATATATCACTATAGAATAATGCATTAATAAAATGAGGCTTTTAGAGGAAGACCAAAAAATTCTGTGTCTTAAAAATATATATAATGGCAATGCAACTGTCTTCCTGCTTCCATGCTGAACTTGTAGAACAGAGGATTGTATTGAAGACAACGTTGAATGTAAATTGATCCCCCTGTGCATTTTCAAGGTTTTTCTTTCTGAAGTTACACATCACAGCAGTATGCGTAGGCCATACGATCTAGACTGAAGGTCTGTTCTGATGTTTGATATACCTTATTGGGATGTAGAAAATCTGAATTTTTACTTAAGTGTTGGGACTAGGAATCGGCGCTGTGTTTGCTGCATAACTCCCGCAGGGACAGTAGAACTGATGCAGACCTGCTGACCACAGTGCACGAGGCAGATGTGACACGCCCTCTATGTTGGGAGCACTCACCACAGGACACAGATGGCTCGTGTCCCCATTGCAGCGGAAACAAGTGGCGTGAAAAGTGGAGACTATGAAGTTCTCCTTATCCTGTACATTTCAAGAGAAGAAGGCATATGCAATATTTACATTCTTAATTTAGTTTACAGAATGGAACCAAAATGTATAAATGTTATGTTTGCTAAAACTTCACAATGTATATTGGGTCTTTGTACATTTTGCCTGAATTAACCGTAAATTTAAAATATTTTTTGCTATATGAACTTTAACAGTTATTAAACAGTGTTTTTCTTTTGGGTACATATTGTTTCTGGATATCAAGGTGTTAAATATATTTCTTGCTATTGTGTTATGACAAGAGACCTACCCTCCCTGCTGTCTTCCACTGTCCATGCTGTATATAGGGGTCACGTGGCGCCGCTGGAGATGAGAATAAACTGGAGTAGACTAGTATGCTGTATTTAGTCTGTATTGACCATGGATGCCCTCCTTAATAGCCATATGCAATAAAATAAAATACATTATTTATGAAATGAATAAAGCTTTGAGGATATTTTCTGTATAATTATGAATTTAACATGAAACCAGTCTACTCCTGGGGGGCTGGCGTTAACAAGTACATTGTCTTCAATACCTTTTGATTTTTAAAACTTACTATTCTAAACAGAAAATGTCCCTCAAATCACAAAACTCAATGAAAAGTTAATGTGTCATCTCAGTTTCCTTTCCTGTTGCTGTGATAAAATACCCTGGTAAAAAAGCAACTTAAGGGAGAAGGGTTTATTCTGGTTCACGTTCAAGGGTATGGTCCATCGTGGTGGGGAAGTCAAGGCAGCAGGAGCTTGAAGCAGCTACACCTACAATCAGGAAACAGAGAGGGGACCACTGCTGCTCAGCTTTTTCTCCATGTACACAGTCCAGGATCCCAGCCAGGCTAATGGTACCACTCAATGACAGTCTTCCCACCTCCACTAGCCTAATCAAGGTAATCCCCTACAGGCACGTCCAGAGCCCAACTCCCAAGTGATTCTAGACTCTGTCAAGTTGATAACTAACCATCACATTTATTAAGGGGGGGAAAATGAACATTTACCCATTCCTTACAATGGGTTGCGCACTGTTCTGGGTGTTTGACTGATTCCCTCTTACCATTCACACCTCAGGAAATCCACGTTGTCATTCTGCTTTACAGATTACCAGACTATGGCACAGAATGGCAAAGTGACCTGAAGATGCGGGAACTACTGGGGCAGGAATCATTCCTAGCAGGGAGGTCTGGAGTCTGTTCTCTAGGCCTGTGTGCTTCTGCCTGATACCCCTGCAGAAGTGGGTGCACTGGCACATCAAGACGTAGTGTAACCCTCAGACCCAACGTGCAACTTAGGAGCAGCACAGAAATGATGCTGATTGATTCTTATCAATAATAGTTTCACCTCCTTGTTGGAAGTGACTTTTGCACATAACTATTTAACAGTTATTTGGAAGTTTTTAAAATGATGCCCTTTGAATCCAATGAGGTCAGTCAACAGTGGTGGTGGGATGTATCAATGGGTTCTGTGGCTCTTAATGCAGTTCCTGCCTGTTCTGCTTGGATGGAGTGCTCCAAGGGAGCCTGTTAGGCCCACAGGTAGGATGCAAGCTTCACAGACTTAGCATACCCAGATTCCACTCACCATTTCAATACTGAAGGGCAGATGACCCAGGGTTTTCCAAGTTGGGAGAAGATAGATGCAGTCCTCAAGGAACCTGTTGGGTATAAGTATGGAGGTAGGCCTAGTTCACATGTTTATAGAAGCTTCTAGAAGAATGAAGAGCCTAGTACACTGATGAAGTGTTTGATCTGACTCTGAGTCCCAACTCTCAGGCGATTCTAGACTCTGTCAAATTGACAACTAGCCACATGTTGCTGTGGGACTGCAGTTTAACATCAAAGTGGTTATGTGCAGAATAGTCACTTCCAACAAGGAGGTAAAACTATTCTTGATAAGAATCAGATCAGTTTCATATTTTCTGCTCCTAAGTTGCACTTTGAGGTCTGACGGTTACACTGTGTCTTGCTGTTTGTTGGTCAGCAGTTGATGTGGAAGGTTGTCTCTACCTAAGAGTCCAGTCACTGAACCTATGTGACAGGCTGACAGCCTGTCCTGCCGCACATCTGATACATGCCTCCTCACATCACCACTCAACAGGGTTTTCAATAGCAGGTACATAAACTCCAGGTTGACTTGGTGCGGTACTTGGAATGAACTGGTTTTGCTTTGTCACAGTGTCTTTTGGATGTCACCCATCCAGGGATAAAAGGGAAGGAAGGACCCTTGGATGTTACCCTCTCTACCATGAGTACATCTCTTGTACTTTGAATCTTATGACTGAGTGAAGGGCCATGTTTCTGGTTCTCTCCGTCTGTGCTGGTCATCTAGATGCCAGCTGAGTGTCCGTCCAGGGTCCACTGGAGGCTGGTATCTCTCTGCCTTCCCAGTGCTTTCTCTTCCCAGCTCTTAAGTTGTGCCTGTGATTTCCTGCCTGCCCCTCTGCATCTCCTGGGCTCCAGGCTGCACTCACTTCCCAGAACCAGGTGTGCTTACCGCTCTCGCCTGTCCACTATGGAGAAAAAGACCAGCCTTCTTGGAGACTTACTGCCTCTCATCCACACTCTGAGTTTATTCCACTGTTTCTTTTTCTCTCTTTCAGATCTCCTTCCTTTCATCCAGGAACTCAAAAAGTTCTTAATTTTTTACCCAAATTGCTTACACCCCAAGAACCTTAACAAATGCCTTACAAGACTGTCTGGGTGGCATCAGACTCTTATGGGGAACACAGCATGCTCCTGTCCCCACCCCCGTCACACCGAACTCTCAGGAAGTATTGACAGATAACTGCCTTCATGGGTAGTTTTCTAGAAAGGATGTGAGACGTGTTAAGTAGCTGTAGTAAGTAGGATGTATCTAGATACAAGTTACAGAGATCCCAATTGAATAGTTCAATTGTAGGAGTTCTTAAACAAGAGCTGTGTCTCACACTTTTGGAGGCTGAGGAGTCCAGAGATGTGGTGGCAGATTAGGTGTCTGGGCAAGGCTGCTTGCTGGTTCCCAGCCAAGCTTCTTGCCTTCCTTCTCCTACCTCCATCCTTTCTCTGGAGTCTCTTAACAAGGCAGAAACTTTATTCATTAGAGCTGAATCCTGTGACCTAAACACATGCAAAAGGCCCCACCTCCAACCATCATCACTGTGGGGACTATGATTTTAACCTGTGACTATCCAGAGACCACACATGTTCAGGTCACAGGCTTTCAGTAGTTCAGAAACCTTAATGGTCAGAAACCCTTCACTGCTGATGAAAACTGATTGCTGGTTTCTGCCCCTGGACTTTCCATCTGCCCCTGGACTTTCCAACTGGCCTGAAGAATTGGAATCCTTGACAGTTTCCAGGGGCTACTGGCCTTGGGGTACATTTGAAAACCTGAATACAACTTAGGGATAGTTGGTTGGTCATTTTAGTGGCCTCATCAGGACCCTGGACTTTTTCCGTTCTTTGTTTGGTTTTTTTTTGTGGTCTTTTTGAGACAGGGTCTCCCTATGGCCCCAGCTGTCCTGGAACTCATTATGTAGACCAGGCTGGCCTTGAACTCACAGAGATCCTCCTGCCTCTGCCTCCCAAGTGCTGGGATTAAAGGCGACTGCCACCACACCCGGCACTTTTTCCTTTCTTTGTAACTGTCCTTGGGGGAGTTTGATTTTATTTCTCAGACTTGATCCCTAGTATCTGTAAACCTGTGTGGCATGATATCCAAACAATATGTCCTCTGATGATACCCAATGAGGATGCACTCCCTCGTACCTTTAAGAGGTGATGCAACCCATACTAGGCCCATCCTACCTGCAAGCACCCTTGGCCTTCTTGTGACCAGCATCTAGTCACCTGGTTGTTTTTTCATAGATCACTAGGAAAGGTGTGGGCCAAGGGGGCTGAAGAGATGGCTCAGCGGTTAAGAGCACTGACAGCTCTTGCAGAGGACCCAGGTTTGAGCCCAGCACCCACACGGCGGCTGTGAACCGTCCTTAACTCCAGTTCCAGGGGAATCTGAAACCCTCTTCTGACCTCTGCGGCATTCACAACACGGGTACACTCACATACATGCAGGCAATACACTCATACACACAAAAATTAAAAATAATAAAATATTTTTAAAGAAAGGAAAGGTATGGTCCTATTGGCTGATTGAGAGCCTCTGGGACCTGGTGGGTAGTCAGCATCCCCTGAAGAAAATGGGAGGTCTCTGTGCTGGTAATAGTGGTAGGGCTATCTCAGTGGACAGCTGTTAGTGTATGCTGCAGCATCGTAGAAAGGCATGTGGTTCAAACCCTGACAATGCTATTACACCTTCAGGTCTCTGTCAGGCTCTTTTGTGCTAAGCGTATTGTATTCAGAGTACTGTCTCTCATGATCTATCTGTGTCTGCCCTAAAAGCATCCCATGGCAAATGGACTTACATAGCCACATACACAAGGGGACCTATAAGCAAATGAAAAGGATTATTGGACTTGAAACAAAGTGTTCCCCATGATAGTGCTGCCTAAAATATCCCTCGAGGAAAGTTATGTGAAATATTGGAAGTTATTGTTCAGAATATACATGGAATCTTTACACAGCATTCCTTCATTTCCTCCTTTGAAACCAGGACATCCCTACCTTTGCAACTTCTCTCCTTTTACCTTTGCTGCTTCTTTTTTAAAAATAACTTTATTTTTATTTTATATGTATGAGTGTTTTTCCTGCATCTATGTAAGTACACCAAGTGTGTGCAAGCCCACAGAGCCCAGGAGGTAGCATCAGATCCCCTGGAACTGGAGTTATGGACAGCTGTTAACCTGCCCTGTAGGTGCTGGGACCTGAACCCCATTTCTCTGCAAGAGCAGCCAGTGCTCTTAACCATTGAGCCATCTCTCCAGTCCCATCTTTGCCTCTTACATTTGCTAATTATACTTTTGTTTTTGCAATGATGGGATAAAATTTGTCACTTTTTCCTTCACTATGATTGACTTGGTTTATTTATTTATTTATTTATTTATTTTTTGGTCTTGTTGAGACAGGGTCTCCCTGTAGCCCCCAGCTGTTCTAGAACTCACTATGCAGACCAGGCTAGCCTTGAACTCACAGAGATCCGCCTGCCTCTGCCTCCCGAGTGCTGGGGTTAAAGGCGTGCACCACCACGCCCAGCCTTGACTTGTTTTTTTTCAAGTATTCTTCCTCCAGTAACATTGTACCATTTCCTGCAACCAACCCTGTGTGGTTACTTTTGGCCCATCTGTTTAATGCTCTTAAAACTGAAATTTCAAAATTCTTCTCAGAAAGAAACCGAAACTTCAAAATTCTTCTCATGGCTTATAGGCCATGTTCCCCAAGTTCTCTCAGACTGGAGAGTAGTTACTGTTCCTTTTATAGAGAACATCAG